ATATATATATATATATATGTTATAAAAAAAGGCTTATATATATATATGTATACAATATGTGTATATACATGTACACATCATGATACAATGATAAACAGCTGGGTTCCATTGTATCGTGTGTGTGTGTACTGAATTGTATCATGCTCATGTCAGTGTACATGTTCGTGTCTATTCACATGCTTATATTACATGTGTAATTATACTCTAGAGACCTAGCAATATGGTATCTAAGGCAGCAGTACGACAAGAAGAAGGATGCCGAGCTGGAGAGCTTGTCCAGCACTACAGGTTTTTTACGGGCCGTCCTTTACATCCTCCGAATGAAACCTGGCGGCCTGATTTGTGGCGGTTACCCAGCATCTTCGGACAGGATTGGCCTGGTTAGGCTGAGTGTGCTGTATATATTGGCCATGGTCAGATCGGCAAACTTCGGGCATTCCTACCAGCAGCCCGCATCCTCCATGAGTGTATTGCCTCCGCCTGTGTACCAGTATGCTCTGCAGAAGCACTTCAACGTTTATTGGTGTTCTGGCCGCAGTTGCATGTAGCACAATATACGTAGCTCAGCAAAACCGCGGTATGCTTCAACTCACGACTGTCTGACCCAGGTGGGCCGGAGCCGTTACAGGATTGGGCAACGTGCATCTTGATTGAACTTGGAGTGCAAAGCCCGGGGGTCTGAGTTCCGTATAGGCCTAGCTATAGCAGGCAATAATTAATTTAAGGAGCTTAGGCTTATAATGACCCTGAGCCCGGGCCTCGTCGATACACTTTCCGGATCCTTGTCAGCCCTGATCATAGCAAGGCTCTTCGAAAAGTGGGTTTATTTCGGTCCCCTGGATTCTGGGTGGGTCCTGTACATGTACAGTAGAGATTCCTGAGGGCTCTAGGTCAGTAGATTGGTTCACTCGCTCTCTCTTGGAATTGTCTAGATAGAATCTAAATGTGCTGCTGGGTCTTTGATTGTGTACAATAATAATAATAATTTTAATAATAATAATAATCATAATCATAATAACAATTCTATATATGATACATATAGCTGGTACATTGTGTGTCTGCTCGAGCTCATTGATATAATGATCATGTACATCATTACATGGTATATCTGTACATGTCGACGTATGTGTAGCTATAGGTACAGTCTGCAGCGATTATGATCAAATTATCATCCAAGGCCTTGGATCAGGAAGCTTGAGGTCCGGAAGACAATCCACAAGGAGAAAGCTGCATCCTTTGCACGAGCACTCCAGCCTGGGGATGGGGATCTCCATCCGCGAAAGCTAGGACCTTAGGCGGATTCTGTTTAAACAGGGCCCACATGCACACAATGGCAGGCTGTTCGGATGCTGCTTTCGGTTCATGTCATTCTCGCGGTACATGTTGATCATCATTGCATGCAAACATGGACACTGTACATAATCAGGCCATTTCGGGACACGTCCTCCAGCGGCTACAAGCGGTTCTTCGGCAAGAATGTTCTTCATGAGCACCAAGAATGGCTGGTGGGGACCCCCAGTGACATGTCCAATACAAGGCAGTGCAGGCTTAGGTATTTCGCTCGCTGTGGACCATGCATAATCTGCTGTCGTGAGCTCTCATCTGCATTGGCACAAGGGGACTGAAATTATGACGATGCCAACTTCTGCCGGGTCTTTGTCGGGTCATGAGGACAGTTGCAGGAGGAGTTACTATGTAAGACTGAACAGGCTCGAACTTCAATCAGAAATCTCCCTTCAACCCGAGATTATACTACTCCTGAACCCACGATCCTGCGACACTCTGTGATCCAGGCTGCAGACCCGGAGATGCCCGACCTGGCAAGGATTTTGGAATCCGGCTACCAGGCTCGAAACAGTCTTCCTGCTGGCGCTTAGAATGCAGGTGCCCTAGGCACAACAAGTTGTTCTTGGCATTCTCTAGATCTGGACACGAAACCTGCAGTATATGAGCATGCAATTGATCATGAATCACAGGTTCATGCGAGCTGTGCACATGCACATGCTACATGTACAGCAGTGATCATCATTAGCTCGCCAATACCACTACTTCGGACAGGACCTCCAGCAGACCTGGTGCGAGGGCAATCTGGAGGAGCTGAAGAGGTTCCTGATGGATGCTGCTTTCCGTGGCGAATATGTGCCACCGGGCCAAGGGGTTCTTGAGATTGATGCCGCTCCGTCTGAGGAAGTGTTTAACCACTTTTGTGATCATTATGGCTTGGTCAGGACGGGCGGCAAGGGCAAAAGTCACATGCTGTCGTAGCAGCCCACATAAGACTGTTGTTGTGGGTGTATTTATGCATATATATATATATATACACCTAAATTGTAAATTATTAGAGGACTGGGCTTACGAGCAGCTTAATTGCCAAATTCGTGTCGTTCGCTTGAGCGGCGGGCTTTTTATCAACTCTGTAGATACCGCATGCACCCAGGTGGCTATAGCTTGGCATGTGTATATATATATATATACATATGTAGGAATACATGGTACTCGTGTATGTACATATATATATATATATGTATATTGTTGTGTGCATGGTCGATTAATCAACATGCAATTGAGTCTGGTAGTTATGGTTTGTCATCTAGAACGTGTATGTCCTGTAGTATATATATATGGTCATACATGTGAAGCACTACATATGCTATGGACACACATATATATATATATGTATATATATATAGTCATAAATTGAAGGACATATTATAGATATGTATGTATATATATATATATATATATATAATATACTGCACACCATATACATGCACCAATTGTTAATACATATACATACATATATATATACACTTAAACAGCAGTGCCATATACATATACATGTGTATATGTATATATACATCTATATATACATAGATAAATGTATGGGTGCATCCGTGTATATGCAGCACACAGACACACATGTATGTATGTATATATACCCCATATCATATATATATATATATATATATATATATATACGGAACATATATATATATATATATGTTGATATTTATATACATGTATATATATATATATGTATATGTATATCAATATATAATTATACATATACATCATGTGTAAATAGAGAGATCTAGAAATGGTATGTACAAGTGTTTGTTGACTATATATAGAGGAGAAATATCATATCACACATATATATATAGATATATAAACCCATTCTATTCTAGATCTGTATATATATATAAATGTTTGTATAGAAACGTATTTGTACATAGTTGCACATAGCATGTATTTTGACCAATATGTACTGCTTATGATTGAGTTATGTATGTATATATATATATATATATATATATATATATACATCTAATCAGCTACTCCTGGAAAGCCTGAGGTTGTGCGGAAATTAGACAGGCCTGTCTGCAGCTGTTGCAGGTGCTCCAACGGATCATCAAACCTCGCCGGGTTGTGTTGCAAGGGTCCCCAGGTGCTTGCATTGTGACAAGAATACCTAGTACTCTGGGTGATAAAGTGCCTATATTCTTGAGTCTGATCCAGTGCACCGTTGGCAGAAGCTGCTACAGACCCGGACTCAGCCAGATTATCATGGATGTTTGAGGAAAACCCAATCCGAATCGAGGGCAGTACTGCTGTTGTGCATGCTTGCCCTTGACTTTGCTGTCTTTCGGAATCCCCAGCCCTACTTTCAATGTACCGCAAAGCATAGTTGATGCTTTGTCACATTCATTAGCTGCATCCAAACCGAAGCAATGTAGAACCCTAGCTTTCTAAAGCCCTGGGGTGTGAAAATCCAGTGAAAATCTGTTAAAATAACACTGGTAACCTAGGGTGCCTGTGATTTTCACGTGCCAACGTGTGAGGATTTGGGCCCGAGTCGACGTTGAGCGATGAGTACGGTAAGGTTACGTAAGTGAAAAAACCGTGAAATCGTGTGAAAACACCTCCCTGCCAACCGCTAGGCGTGAAATATGGGTGAAAACATGTGAAAAAATAAAATGGGGGTTTACGTAGACTTGCAGCTGCTTAACGTAGACTATCTAAAATTCACGATCGTGGCTGTAGCTCCGTCGCTGGGCTGGTAGTTTTCCGTAAACACCTTTACAGGCCCCAAGTCGAATCACCCAGAGTCATGGCTCCCAAACCGGGAGCTGGAGCCACCCGGGCTGCCAAGAAGAAGAAGGATGAAGCTATGTTGCAGCAATAAAACTTGTCTATGTCTATTCCTATACACCTTACGATCCCAATTCCATCTCTCGGCTTGCCTGCTGCTGCCCAGGAAGACTTCGACATGGAAAAGGAGATGTCCCAGGCCCTGCAGCGATGCAATTCGAAGCTTTCCAGGAGCAGCTGGGAAGCGATTATTATAAGTGCTTGTGTAGGGAAAGTGAAGTGTCCTGTGATTCCGCACGAGCACAATTAGAATTCATGCCAATCAAGAACTTAGGTAGCAGTTGCGAGACTCTGCAACGTTCGGCTGAGCAGAAGCCGGCATCTGTTGCCCGAAACCTGGACAAGCAGTTCGCGGCCGCGAGTGCATCTGAGACTCCTATCCGTTCGCCCTACACGAAGAAGCCTCGTGTGACCTCGCCCGTCGTAGAGGAGCTTTCTTTTCACAACCAATACAATATGTGATTAAGCTGGTCGATAGCATAATCATGTGTATATATATATATATATAGAGCAACCATATCTCCTAATATTGGATCGGATAGATTAATTATTACAGTACTGGGCAGGAAACACTACGTGACGACTTGCTGCCGAACGGAGATGACATGGACATGCAGGTGTGTGCAGCGATGCCTGCACTCCCGCTCGGCAGCAAGACCACCTGCGATGCGAAGGGTGCAGCTCCCACACCAGGATCCCGATCTCGAGGCCCACAAACCCCAGAAGTCGCAACAGGACAATTGGATCGAAAGCCCCGGACCTCCAAGAAGTCGGATCGCAAGAGCAAGCCGCAGGCAAGCCCTCCTATGCTTCATACCAACAATCCCGAGAAGTCCAAGGACGATCCCATGATCGAGGCCCACAGTCCCAAGAAGCCGGTGAACGAGCCCCACAATCCCGAGAAGCCCGTGAAGGAGCCCCGCAATCCCGAGAAGCCCGTGAAGGAGCCCCACAATCCCGAGAAGCCCGTGAAGGAGCCCCACAATCCCGAGAAGCCCGTGAAGGAGCCCCACAATCCCGAGAAGCCCGTGAACGAGGCCCACAATCCCGAGAAGCCCGTGAACGAGGCCCGTGATGAGATGCCGAAGGATTCCGTGCTCAAGACCCATCAGTTTGAAGGTGGTGGTACTGATGTGTCCCAGGCTTCCCAACGGACAAGTGCACCTATGCCAGCAGATACGAACCGAGCCACGTTGAACCGTGACTGGATTGCAACCGATCGTTTTTTCTAGCATTACTTTGGGGCTAGTTGTGGATGCTAGCGCTTTGTAGACCGCAGCCAGGGTACGATCACATTAAACAACAATCCACGTCTGCATTTGTATGATAGATATGTACATATATATATATATATATATGAATTATATGCTGATGTAGACTTCAATCGAGTGTGTGTGTGTGTGTATATATATATATATACATATATATATATATATACTGTATTATATATATATATACTCATTGTATGTATACACATATATATATATATATATAATTAAACTGTATATATGCATGTACGGTGTGTATATATATATAGGATACAATGCACATGTTAAGTTGAAGACGACTATGAGTAGTACACGAATACACACACACATACGTGTAATATGTACTATGTATAGCTGTATACAAGTATATCTATATAGACCTATGACTACATATATATATATATATATATATATATATATATTATATATGTATATGCACCTAGTCTTCTTCTCATCTATATACTAAAATATATATAATTATACATGATAGCATATATGCATGTATATATAGACCATATCATATAGATGCAAGGCCCACGGCACCTGGACTCGCAGACCACGGTGAGCCTGGCCGACTACAAGGCCTCACCAACCAGGGCAGAGGTGATCTGTTCTGAGCTGGTCCAGCAAGGCTTGCCCGAGCCGTGTGATCATGACGAGCACTTGCCACAGACCCTCATGGACTACATGTTCCGGCAGGGTGTGGACACTGTCGGCAAGATGAAAGACATTGACAGAGCTGCACAGGTGATACGATGGACTCGGGCGATCGGCCAGCGGGATGCAACTTTCAGCTGTGATCAGCAGCATGGATATATGGCTCAGGTGCTGCATGAGTTTGCGACAAAGCTCAAGAAGCAGCAGGCTATCCTCCAGAAGGCCACCACTGACTACGAGAAGTACATGCAAGTTATTTTGGGGTTGGGCGACAAGAAGCGAGCCGAACTCGACAAGTCTGAGACCGATCTCAAGAAGCTTGGAGCCGGGCTAGACAAGATCAGCAGCTGGGTGGAAGGGAAGCTTCGGGAGAGACAGGGCATGGTCACCTCAGAACAGGAGAAGACAATGGTGGTTCAGCTGAGCTTCGCTTCGGCCCTGGAAAGCATTTTGGATGCCGTGAACCAAGAATGCGAGGATCGCTTGGCAGCTGTCGATGATTCTGTTACCCTGGACCTCGAATCCGAACTGCAGGCAATGATGCTGGAAGCCCAGGGCGCCGACGAAGCAGCTGGACATGCGACCCCACCTCGGGATCCGGAGGGCGGCAAGCCGTTGCTGGCCGTGAAGGACAAGGTGACTTGGGTGCAGCCAGGGTATCTGAATTCAGCCGGGTCCCCATATTTCTCTCTATATATATATATACATAACACACATATGTAGAGTTACGTATGTTACCATTCGGTTTATAGGAGATCTAGACATGTAGAGGTGCCCCGACCTGAGATCTTCAGGGTGTATAATATATGCATATGCATATATATATATACATACATACATACATCTGTTGAATATCCTTATGTATGTGTGTATATATATATATACTTGTCATATAATGTCTATATGTATATACGTATATATGTACAACTATTATTATATGTGTGTGTCCGTATACACTGTACAGTCAGACATATACGATAGTGTCCGTCAGCGACTCTTAACTTGAAGTACATCCACATCAGCACTGAGGTGCCCAGCGATGTGCCACTGGCAGCTACATCCAATCCGACCTTGACTGGGGACCAGGCGAGGCTTCAATTCTAGAACTCGTGATCGGGGTGCATTTCCTAGGATCCTGCTTCATTCCACTGCACCTTCAAGCTTCAACCGCTGCAGGCAATTCCGGTCGACACCACGAAGCAGACTAGCGAGCCTGAGACATCCATTGCAGACTTGGACCACCCGAAGCAGAGCGAGCCCGACACATCCCTTGCAGACTTGGACCACCCGAAGCAGACTGAGCCTCCTGCAGCCGTTGCAGAGATGGATGCGAGGGAGGCCAAGAGACTGCAGCACAATGCTCGGGTGACATTCGATCGCAGGATCAAGGGCATCTTGACATGATCATGTTAGCGATTGTTGCCCCATGCTTGACATGGTTTTTTTGGCTGGTAATTCATGCACTCAAACCGACAAGCACTCAACCAGTCTCTGCCTTATCTGAGGTGCTGACTGTCCCCCTCAGATCCTCGAGAAAATCCAGTCCTTCCAGGGCCAGCCGAGTCTCATGTCTGCACTTGAAATATAATTAGCTTGTGATGTCGTTTCAGCTGCAGCTTGATTGTACACATGTGCTGCCCCAGCTCATTCGCATGATCTCTCAGATCGTCTGAAGCTCATGCAAGCTTTGTTCCACGACTGGCACAAGAACAACGGCGACTGGACACGAACGGCTGCTTATCAGGAGTCCGAGAGGAAGACGAGTGAGGAATCCAAAGGAAAACAAAAAATGATAAGCTTCAAGGCGCTCAAGGAGAAGTACGGCAAGAAGTCGGCAGAGAAGATCCGGGACAACAAGAAGCAGCTAGAGCAGTCGAGGGACGAGAAAAAGGATCCCCGCCCGTTCTGGTTCAAGCACCCGGATGCGGGCGACGATCCAGCCACTGCATTTGCATTTGGGAAGTCGTTCTATGAATCATAATAATATAGAACCAAGTATTTTAGTATACATGATATGGAGCCGCTTATATATATATATATATATACATATATATATACATAGTTCTATAAGGTACTCCGTTTTAGTATTATAATACCGTGTATATATATACATATTATATATATATATATATGTATGTATGTATGTGTAATATATATATATATATATATATATATATATATAATTAGGCATTGGACCCGATATATCTGTATTAATTATTATATACATGTTGTATTCCCCGCTACTGCTGAATATTAAACCATTTGAAGCCTCGAGCCGGTAAATCTATTCGAACTCAGGACTGGGAAATGTTCAGGTGTTTTGACTCTCTCGAGTTCGAGCTCAAGGACGTCTCCTCCTCCACTGTTGGGTTCGCTAGCCGGGTCACCCTGGGAGGTGAAGCTACGTCTCAGCTTGCGAGCCTTTTCTGCACGTATAAAGGTCGTCTAGATTATAATCATATCTCCCGATTTCACTGATGATCGTCTTTATCATAAATAAAAATAACCCGTTGGATCCATGACCGTATGAGGAGCACGATCAATGACATGGCGATGCAGCCCGGGGCAAACCGTGCGGCTTTCGGCCTCGGCAATCCTGGTGCTCTGCAGGGCTCCCGCTCGACGGAGTCTTTGCCTGGACAGGAGCCCCCGAAGCAGCAGGTGAAGAAGGTCAATGCATATGGCCTCACCCGCAAGCTCAACGGCAAGATTCAGGCAATTGCTGCAAGGCAAACAGAGATCTTCGTTTGGTGCCGGAAGATCGCGGAATCCCAGGCCGAAGCCATGCCACTTAGTCCTATGATGATTTGTTTAACGTTATAACAGTTCAAGGTTTTGTGTACATGTAGCAAATGGAAATATACCTCAAACATATGCTTATAGGCACGGCCATATAATTCCATGTGTTCACCCTAAACACTACCCAGGTCGGAGAAGACGAAGGAGGGCTTCAACGACCAGTTGGAAGCCAAGAGGGCAGAGTTCGATTCACTCAAGGGCAAGATGGAGGCCCTCTACAGCAGCTGCAGCAATGTGCAGGACAAGGACCTGTCGACGGAGCAGCAAGCGGACATAGCGACCTACTTGCAGCAGGCTGAGACATTGTCAACAGATCTCGTTGGCTCTTTGAGGCCAATGAAAATGACATTGGAACCTTGGATTATTCCGATTTGTATTATATCCCAATTCCTGGACCACTTCACCTCAAGCCCTCAGCCTATGTAGAAATACCAGACCAAGAAACCCTGAATATACCCCGAAGCATAGCTAAATCGTCCGAGTCTGAGCGCCGAAAGCCTACTCCTGCATAGTCCGATAGATGACCCAGCGAGTTATAGCTCTCGGTTATGTTTCAATTCTTATTGTAATAAAATCTATTATGCAATCCCTGGGTATGAAAATTACGATAATTTATTCCGTACTACTTGACATCATTCGACACCCAAACCCAATCCCAGGATCCGCCAAAGGTCAAAGCCAAGGCCAAGCCCTCGGCACGAGGAAAGTGATGAGGAGATGCGGTGCCTGAATGGGGCTTTCGTGAGCTGCAATGATCTGCAGCAGATTTTAGATTGGGTGGGATCTCAGAGTTTGCAGGGACGAAGCAATGTAGCTACGGGACAGCATGCATGATCGATGTGCGAGTCTATACCCCGGCCAGTAGTACGTGCAACTATGTATATATATATATATATGTATTATACGAGTACTACGACGAATTATGTATGCATGCCGAGCTTGCACGATACCAGGGCTAGCTAGTGACTATATAATAATACTTTCCAAAGAACTTCGAGCATGCATTGCTGTTGGAACCTGGAGCTGCTCCACATTGCTAGGATTTTGTGTCAAGCCTGATCCCGAAGGAAGCCTGCGATAGCTAGCTAGTATCGTATATCATAAAGATGATCCAGATTCGCAGGCTTGTTTTGCAAAGGGCGAGCCAGCCGACACCGAAATCATGCTGCTGTGCTGCTGCTAAAAAGAATCGAATGTCGGAGTGATGCTGTCCATGTCTAGATAGCTTGATGAGACAACCCAGCAATAGTTGGAACCCCCTCTTCCGTCGCAGGTGATCTCGCGAGGGCGAGGTCATCGCCTATGTTCAGCTATTTGATGAGAGCATGTGGTCGGGGGGCCGCATGATTGCACTTAAATTGAAATTCTGTCTGATCAATGCAGTTGCAATGTTACACCCCTCGGACTGATCAGACTCTGATTTCAGGAATCCTTCACGAGTGCCCGCCGGTCGCTGCAAGCCATGAAAGAGGACAGCATCGCTTCTTCTATGACTATATAGAATAATATACCTCGAGCTCGTAAGCAACCCAGTGAGCAGTCATGACGATCTTTACAGGAGATGATGGCGAACTACGGCATCAAGATGAGAGGCCCGTGTGCGAAGCTGGAGGCAGCAGGAGCACATGGGAAATGGGGCAGCAACATACAGAGAGACATGTTGCGGACAAGCTCGACGGGGGATGATGTGCCTTGCTTAATCATGACATCAATGAGAAACAATTCATATGTACATGAAATCAACCCCTTTAATTATAGCTAGGGTCAGTCACGGGAATTCTGCAAAGCCCCGATAGCCCCCAGTCCGAATCCAGCCTCAGGTTCCCATCGATATGGTGGATGTGCCGATCAAGCCTGAGAAGGGTAGCACTGTGAAGACAATCATCAAGCCACTTATTCGAAATTCAGTCCATAATATAGTGTATAAGTATAAAGTACATTCCGGTTTCGGGCTGTATATACATATATATATATATGATACAAATAAATTTCCCTTCTATTGTACTCGATTGCAACTAGGTCGATGCCGGTCGTCTTACCTCATAAGTTGGTTCCCTGGCTTATTCGAACTGGCAAGTGGCCCACTACTGTTTCTGAGAGAGACCTGCAAGAGTACTGGCAGCACCACGAGCGGTACAAGACTGGAACCTCGGCCCCAAGGGAGAGTAGCGGTGGTGCACATGTGCACCCTCTGTGGATCTGGGGAGACGACTGTCGATATGGGAAAAAAATCACCCAAAAGATTATGGTTTGTATGATGGGGCATGTCCTGGATCGCTGCAAGAACAGTTACATGTCGTGCTACCCGCTCTGGGTTTGTGGATGCGACTCTAGGAATCAAGTTGGCAAGCTTGTGCAACTCCAGCTTGTGATCATGATGAATTTTTAATCCCCGGCCTTCGATTCAATGTCCCCGTCGCAGAATCCCAGGAGCTCAGCCTCGGAATGCGGACACTTGCCGCCTACATGAAGCCGGTGCCGTGGCGAAATACACTTAGCATCATTCCTGTTGCTCGTGATCGGCTACATAAATGAAATACGTACTGTATCATCAACATGTGTCGCTCGGAGCTCAGGTGGTAGCCAGCCTCAACTATCTAGTAGAAGGTGTACGTGTATGCCCTGCTGGCGAGTCTGTGATGGTGTATGGGATGTGCACCGAAGTCAAGGGGGACTGGAAGTGGCAGAAGGACGACTTTGCTAAATATTCCGAAACATTATCACTATCGTGCGATCATTATGATAATAAGGGCAGGCCTCTATACCCAATTGTTGCAATATGCAGCAACCATCAAAGCAGGAATGGCTGGGCTTGAAAGTCGGATGGAGCTCCAAGGAGCTGTGTCACCAATGCCGGGCGACCTCCGGCGCTTATGCTGCTGTTCCCTCCATCCTGCATGATCTGCCTCGACGAAGCCTGACCGAGATCCTTCAAGGCTGCCTGCAGCCTGGCATCCGAAGTATTCGGGCTGCAACATAAAATTAATACTCAAGCCTATCCCGTCCAAAGCATAAATTTCCTATACACATTCGCGGTTTGAGCTCCAGGCCCCATCTTCGGCCTCTACGGCATGCACCCTGGGACCATCAAATGGTGCAGCATGCATGTGATAAACCTAGGGGTTGCACTGTGGATGGTGGGCAGTTGCTTCAAGCTCCTATTGCTGGAGTTCCATGTTTGGGGCGATGGGGACTACAGCAAGCGACTGCATGTGGCTTACGATGAGTTCAAGCTCTGGTGCTCGCAGCGACACATCCCGCCTCCCATAACATAAATAGCAATTATTATGCAAGCGAATAGGGTTTATTTTGTGATTATAGGGTTTCTTTTAATTAGTCTATCAAGGTTTCGGTTTACATTGCATCGTTAAAGTTTACCCGGCAGCTGTAACAATAAGGCATACACAGCCCCGCTTTACAACGGCATCATTGAAATCGCCGGATGGACCGTTCCCTGAACTGCGAGCTAAGGCATACAATGCTTCGGGGATGCTATATTACAACACTTTCTTCGTTTAATTGTCTAGTAAAACTGCATAATTGTACTTCTCACCGATCGCTTATCTTACTTATGTAAGGCTCGGGTTGTGGTGGCATGGCTGGCCGCTTTCTTGATGGAGTTTTATTTGGACCAAACCCATGGAGCACCAGAAGACCTGAAGCTTATGGCTGAATGTACGTGTTTTGGTCATCAAGTATACAGCTTTATTTCATTTTAGGGGATCATATTATTATCATAGCTAGCATATTATATAGGTTTTATTTCGGGTATATATATATATTATAATGTATAATTAAATATGTAAAAGATAGATCGGGGCTCATCCTTGATTATATACATAACTATTACATTATAATTATTATAAGAAATGCCATCAAGCTTAGAGGATCTCTTCGATACAGATCATCACGAGGTTTTATACACATATATATATATATATATATATATATATATATGCCTGTGAATATACCTATACACACATATATATATATTGTATATATTCTCAAGTATAGTCTTAAAACTTAGTAATCCGACGATCCCTTCGATTAACCCCCTATTGCCCAGGCATTGGCTTGCCTCCTGGTTCAACATGTCCGAAGATTGTGGACGGTACCTGGAAGAGGAGCAAGCTCGGGGTATGCAGATGTGTTGCGATGCTTGGCTGCATTGGCGATTGCTTCGAGTGCACAACTCATGATCCATGATCAGATGAGGACAAGAGCATGATGGCATACCTTCAGCTTGCGGAGAAGGCTGCATCGTTTGGCCGACCTATGTGGCCGCTCAAGCCGAAGTTTCACGTGCCCTGGATGCTATCAATGAACACTCGGATTTGCAGTATATCGGCTAGATGATTGAAAAGCTTATCCAGCTTAGGCTTGGCAAGAGATCGCATGGCATCAAGTGGCTACTCGCCACTTGGACTTGATTGCAAGGACGACGAATTGGTGTGCCATCCATGGATATAGCTACAGCTAAGGTGAAGGAAGCCGTTTCCACCACTGTTTCTTGCAAGAAGATGCGGTCGGGAAAATCTCTCGACCCTTAGCTGCATGATCAGACTTGCAACCGATGGAACCGTATGGGTCCTAGTATACATTCGGTTATACGCTTGATCCGAGGCTTAGCAGCTGTGACCCATCCATGGACGTTATGCGATATAGCAGTGCGACGATGGTACTTGCAAATCGTCTATGGCGAGCCGGATGAGTGATCACTCGAGCGATGCAAAAAAACCCGTGGGGCACGTGCTCATCATGCCATGGCAGTCGCAGAGCGAGGGTTCAGGGGTACAAGAGCCAAACAGCCACGGCCCACCCCCACCCATCAAATCAGAATCGATGCCTTTATTCAGAAGATATGCCACTACATAGTTTTGTAAATTATATCCCGCAGAACTATTAGCCACAGTATACTTTCAACGATACTACCCCCAGACAGGCCTCTATGACTCATCACCTGATAATCACATACATTCGACCCATGGGGGAAGGACCTCGTGCTTAAGTTTGAATATACACCTCGTAAGTATCGTGCCCGGGTTTGGGCCCCCTGAACCCCAAACCCTAAGGCATAACCCTCTCACAATCACTACCAGTTACTGGAGGGTCAAGGGGCTTAGCAAGTAGTATTTTATAGACATATAGGCTTCATATCCTCAATTAGGAACCCTTTCAGGTAGTTGTAAGTCGACTTCTTACCGACTTACTTTGACAACCCCCCAAACCCCTCAGACCCTGATAGTAACACAAGTGGTCCCCTTTAAGCGAGATCTTTTCCGAAGGGAACTCTTCTTACCTATATACTTACTGATTCCCCTGACCATCCACCTATACTTCAAAGCACAAGCCGGCTCTCGAGGTCCATGTGGTTCCTTAAGATTTCGGTGACATGGGCTTGTGTTCCTCATGCCTAAAGGAACGGGCCATATAGATTGAGTAGTTTTGCGCTTGAAGTCTACGAATTCTCAGCTTGATAATCCCGAGATGGCTCACGACGCCCCTCCAAACAGGCAAACCCTCAATCCTCGACACGAGCTCCTAGACCTTCGGATCAGCATCCAAATCTATAGCCCCGTAAGCCACCCAAGGCTCCATAAACCCCTCAACTGCCAAACAGAAGGCCATGACCCCTAATGAGAGGGTAGAACCCTTAAATCGGTAGGGTTTTGGGATTTCCAGGTATACCTTAACTCAGACTTAGGATCCCTCCTGCAATTTGCGTAATGCCGAGGGTCTTCAGAATCTCTGGGATTCTTGTGGGGAAAACCTCAGACCAAACGCCGCAAACCTCAAGAGAACTGCGAGACACACGGACTTGTCACTGCTGCCATCTTACTGTTTAGGGCTTAGGGTTTAGGTCCTATGCCGAGGTCTGCATGTCGCCGAACGACTACAGTTACACCGGCAAGTGCGGGTAGCAGCTGCCGGGCATGCAAACGAGTCTCCTCACATGCTTGGCAGCAATGTCGCCTATGCAGGGTAAGGATTACCTTGAAGTGACACATGTAGCCGGCATAATCTGCACTGAGACTCGCAAGATGTGTTCAGGCTTCGAGGTTGGGTGTGTGGCTTCACTGACGGCTCCTTTTCGGCATGGGGCTGCTTGGCTAAAGGTTAACGGCGAACCTTTGGGAGTACATTGGGCTATATAGGAATCTTCGTACCCCAAAAAGCTTAAAGGTTACCTACTCTGCTACTAGGAGATGTATTGAGTTATATAGGGGATATGGAACCCCCAAAAGCTTAAAGGTTACCTCTCTACAGTAGGAGAAGCCACAAAGCAACACAGCAAACTTCAAAGAAGAACCCAAGAGCTGCGCGACTCGCTTTGAGACGAAGAACCCCAAGTCCTTACTCCCCCTACCTCGAGCCTCATGGGTTATATATATATATATATATATATATATAAGTGGAGCTATAAGTAGGATTATAGTAGGTATAACTCGTAACATCTTAGTGGGCTTATAACAATCCCACTTTTGTAGCCACCCTAAACCCTGTAAAGCCCAATCAGCCCTATCAAACCCATAAAGAAATCCTGTAAGCCCACTTGTATCTACCCATGAACCTCCAGGTAAACCTTGGCCCGAGTGGGCTGCTTCAGACATGAGATTCAAGAAACTTTGTTGTCTATAGTTCTGGGCTGTTCGAAGATAAAGCTTTAAGCAAGATAGCTGTTGGTGATGACGAATATGATGGAAAGAGGGAGAAGATGGCGAGAATATGTCGACGGTGATACTGGATATTGATGGCAATGATGATGATGACGACCTATGACTGCCCCTATATCTATATATCATACATATCATATCATATATATATATATATCTACATCTCTCTTTATATATATACACATATACATACATATATATATGTATAATGACATATGAGAGTACTCGTTTACCAACCCAAGACTGATTTGTTGGAAACTCCGTGCGATATGGGAGATTCCGAAAATGGGGGTACCTTCTCTTGGGGTCCTAATAATAAGGATCCTACTAATTATTTAGGGTATTATATTAGGGTCCCCTATTTTCGGAAACTCCCATATGCTTGGTTTGTGCAGGTCAACGAAGAGCGAGTCAGAGCTTCCCGCAAACGCTTCAAAATGTTGTCCAAAAAGTAGATCCCTTAATGGCGGTTCCTATAAAGTACCCTTAGTAGTATAGGGCCCCAAATTAGGGGATCTACTTTCGAGATCCTTTCGGGGGTCTGGGATGTTGTCAGTGCGAATAGAATGCTTCGAAAACGGATTTGAACCCTAAGGGTCCATGTACCTAAATAGTCTATACGTTGGCCTTAAAGTAGTCCCTAAAATAAGTACACTGGGGCCAATGTATATACTATTTGGGTACATGGACCCTTAGGGTGAAGTTTTGGACTACCTTGACCCTGTTTCTTCACTTGGTTACACGCTTAAGTATAACAAACGTGAAGAACGATTGCTGACAAAAATCCTGCATTACCTTAATGACCGTAGACTAACGGAATTATGGCATATTCCTTATTATGGGAAATGCAGGGTTTATATCATCAACCGTAGTTCTAAATCTGCTATATCTGCTATTCTTCTGGGTGGTACATCATAAAAATGGTGTGAGGCGCATCCTGACAAGTCAAGTGAGAAGCTGCATGGATTCAGCGGTGAGACACCTGGACTCGGCGCGGTGGAGAGCTTCTCAGCTCCACCTGACCAATGCAAGACAGCCGAATGCACGCTTTGATTGAGGAATACCTGGGAAAATCCCAAACCCTACCGTTTCAAGGGCTCTACCCTGTAATGAAAAGGTCATTACCTGGTATTTTGCAGGGCTCGGGGTCACAGGAATATTAGCTAACCAGTGGTTTGGGGGTTCCCTTGGCTCTTTAGCTCCTTATTTAGTAGGGATTATCATCATCCCTGGCTCCTTAGCTCCCATAATATCAATGGTTAGTTAGCATATTTGAGCTACGCAAAGCTTCTCATGATGATTTCCGGGCTGTTTTTGTTGAACTCCTTTTTCCCAAGAGGCTGCATGACTCGAGGTTTAGGGGTCAGGGTTTCGGGATCTCCAGCCCGGGCCTCGGGATCCCGAGCTGATGCATGCAGGAACATTTTCTTGGTATGATGTTACTTTCTTCTGGCTTAGGGTTTTGAGTCTTTTGGATTTAAGAGCCTCTTTCAGCCTGCCAGTCTAGGGTTCCCAGACCTTCCAAAATCCCTTGATTATTCCTTAAATCATATTAAGGATCCGATTACAAGTTGAGGCATATTCCTTAATGAAGGGATTTTGGAAGGTCTGGGTTTAGGGTTTGGAGTTTAGTGTTTAGCCCTGAACCACGCGCCCAATTTTCAGCCAAACACAGATCAACAGCAACTACCTCTATCATAACCCAATTATAAGGGAAAGTCTACACTTGGCTGACTTCCGAACCCCTTCTAAAAGTTAAACTTCTGGCCTCCTTAAATATATTTCATACAGAAACCAAAAAAATTAAAGTCCCAAGAGCTATCCAGAAGACCGCCAAGTACATATGACCTACTTACTAAGCCAACCCCCCAAACCCTTAAAACCCTTATAGTAGCCTCTACTGCTGATGGACACAATCCTGCATGACCCTAAGGACTCTAAACCATGGGAACTATGGTGTATTCCTTATAATGGGTAATGCAGGATTTTGTCCATCAGCAGTATGGTACCCTTCAAGTGAGATCTTTACATGAACCTGTATGGAACCTTAGGTACGGCCCCCTTACAGTAAGAGTCTATTAAGGCTATTATTAAAGTCCTAATAAATATATCTATATTATGAATACTATTCAACTATTACTGAGTGGGGGCCGTACCCAAATGGAGCCCTCTGTCCCCCGATCCTCCAGGCACTACCTCAAGGCCCGGGCAGATCACCGCCTTTTCGTCTTGAAGAGGTCCTCAGAGAAGCGAAAGCTTACTGCCACAGAAATGAAGGTTAAACTTTCCAGTTCCTACTAAACTATAACCCCTGGGGTCCAAGTACCCACATAGTAGGGTTTCAAGGTCCCAAAACCATTCAGAGTATGGATTTTGGGACCTGGAACCCTACTATTTGGGTACCTGGACGCTCTGGGTAAGAACCCGAAAAGTTTAAAAGGTTGGCTTAGGAGAAGCGAAAGTCCATGGGGTCAGTTTGTAAGTTTCTGGGTTTTGGGTATAGGGTTTGAGGCTTTCACTAAGTGTCCAAATATTCAAAAACAGATATATATATATATATATATATATATACACGTACATATGTATATATATGTATGTATATATATATATATATGTCCCAAAGGATCATCCCGTTTGGTACCTGTTAGTGAGGGTTTAAGATTAACGCCACTGTGAAGGGCTTAGGGCCTTTTCGGGTTTAGGGGTGAAAGCGGGTCAGAGGTGTAGTGTTCAAGGGTTTAAAGGGTTCAGGGTTTAGGGGATTAGTGTGAAGCCCTGTGGAATTCCCATGTCTTATGATCATGAAGTCTTACGCTTTTGACGCTGTTGTTTGCACAACGGGCCGAACACGGTAGTTCCCTCCTCAGTTTGTCCTCCTGAAGGCGACGTCGCGAAGGCTTTCCGGATCGAGCAAAACGGGTGCCGTCAAGCAGGCGGGCCGCAGTTCTTTTTGTGTGGGGTTTTCCCCCCTGTAGTCCCTTAGGTCGACATTGGTAGCGGAGCCTAAGCGCTCCAGTAGTCCTCCGTAGTCTCGTGTAGTGCCATGGCAATTCCGGATGTGGCGCCGGCTAGTTCGGAACCTAGTGATGTTCGTGCAGCAGCAGAACCCCGAACGCAGAGTGCAGAGACGGTTGATGAGTTCGTGAAGACCCCGGATGATGATCAGTCAGGTGAGTGGAGCTGGGAGCACCACTCGTGGGGAGATTCAGGATGGCGAGATGACGATCGCTGGGGCGGCCGTCGTTGGTGGGGACCCCAATCCTGGAATGATGGTCGCTCGCACGGCGACCATGGGAGGCGAACCAGCTGGGACAACAGCTGGGAGGGTGGCAGCACCGAGACTGCTGCCACCGCAAACGGCGGCAGCTGGACCTACCAAGGAGACCACGACGATTACGAGGAAGAACCACACGATCCCTGGGCGGATGGTAGAGACGGTCTCTTTCAAGGTCGGGATTCACGGCTACGTCATCGACAGGGATCATGGGGCGAACGCCCCCCCAGTCAGCGTGACTACGGCGATGTCGTGTGGGACGGATGGCGACACTACACTGGCGGGTCGTTTACTACCAGGTCCGAGGACGACAAGGCGAGCGGCGAGACTTGGAAGGCCGGGAAAGCATCGGAGAAGTTGGTAGTCCCGACATTCTCTGGCGAGGATGGAGACGACGTCGGCAACTCGGCTAGGTCCTACCTGAGAGAGGTCGAAGCTTGGCGGCGGCTCACACACCTGCCGCAAAGCCAGCAAGGACTTGTGCTTTACAGGCATCTCGCTGGCAAGGCATGGGTCGCTGCCGAGGAACTCAATGTGGATGCGCTTGGACGAAGCGATGGAGTTCAGTACCTACTGGGGTGGATGCGAGAGCGCTACTTGGACTTGGAGGTGACCCGCATAGGCAAGGCGTTCTCTGACATGTTCCGCAAGTTGAAGCGTCGTGCAGGGCAATCTGTCAGGGATTATAACTCCGAGTACGATCGACTTCACGCCCGCTTGCGTGAAACTGGCTGCAGACTTCCCGAAGAATGTGCGGCCTGGCTTTATGTGGATAGGTTGAACCTCGAGGAGGGGGCCGAGCTCAACTTGCTCGCTTCGGTGGGCAATGAGTATTCCCTCGGCAGGTTACAGAAGGCCGCGATCATCCAGGACCGAGGGCTTCGCAAACCTTGGGAAGGTGGTGCTGGGAAAGGAGCTCGGCGGCCCTACACCGCGCATGTGACGGACAATGCGGAGGGCGACCCCGAGATCAGCGACGAGGAGCTCGACGGCATGGACGACATCCCGGAGGACGTCGCCGTCGCCTATGTCACGTACCAGAGTGCAAAGAACAGGTACCGCGATCAAGTTCGGAGTCGAGGCTACCAAGGCCAAGCAGAAGCCACCGCGACAACCACGGGCAACTCCGGCGGCCGACCACCTCGTGCTGATGATTCCGGTGCCCGTGAGGAGAAAATCCGTCTGATGAAGTCGCGCTCTTTCTGCTCGAGCTGTGGAAAGAAGGGGCACTGGCATAAAGACAAAGAGTGCCCCAACAACAATGGTGGTGGAGCCGCTGATGGTCCGAAGGATGTAAAGATGTGCAATATCATGCCTGCCCAGGTTCTTGCTCTTCGTCATGTCGGAGGAGGAGAAGACCTTCTTGCCATTGCCGACACCGCCTGCGCAAGGACGGTTGCTGGGACACAGTGGGTACAGGACTACATGGACAAGTTGCCCCCTGATGCCCCTAAGCCCAGCCTTCTACGAGAATGTGAAGCTTACAGGTTCGGCACTGGCAAGATAATGTACTCGTCCTTCTACGTTGTCATCAGCTTTAGACTTGGGCAAAAGGTTGTACGTCTGCGCACCTCAGTGATCAACGGCGACATACCTCTGCTGGTTTCAAGGACTGTGCTCAGCAAGTTAGGTATGATCTACGACATCGAACAGGGCACCGCCGACTTCACGAAGGTTGGGCTGAGCGGTTTCGAGCTTTTGTCGACGGCCTCAGGCCATCCGGCTATCCCGATTGTCCCCGTAGTTGTTGACGGCGGGAACGACGCCGCTCTCCCCGTGGAGGAGCCCAGACTCGAGTCGCGTGAGCCATATACAGCGTTTGCAGTCGGTTTCAGCAGTAGGAAAGCACACATGTACAACATCTACCACGACAAGAAGCTAGATCCTGCAGTGAAGAGCATGCTTACTCAATGTCGGTTGCCTCGTGAAGCCTTCATGTCATGGTGGAAGCATTGTCGGGTACCCGGTGATTTCTGGATTGAGACGGAGTGTTCTTGGGTAAGAGTTCATCTCACTCCAAGGAGAGCCATGTATAATCCAGCTATGTGGGGGTCGTCGGCCACTCTTCAGAAGCAGATGTTGTTGAGCAGCCTCGGAGAGATTAGGGTCACTGAAGCAGTTTGTTGCTCCTCTGAACGCTGGCTAGAAGATGTCGTTGATACTTGGAATCAGAAGGCTACCTCTGAGTCGACTTTGCCGCTGCTCTGGATCGGGAGAACGATCTTCAACAAGCGATCGCCGCCCCGGGATATCCCTTTGTCCTCTCCGCGCCTCCATGGAAGCACCGAGATGCGACCAGCCCGTGGCGATCAGCAAGATGACGAAAACCCAGCTTCTGGAGGAAGCCCTGCGGCTGGGACTCACCGTCCACAAGTCGTGGTCCCCGGAGGAGATCAAGGCGATCATCATGGAGCACCGCGAGTCTGTGAACGAGAAGGATGCCACCGTCGTGATGAAGAAGGTGAGCCAGCTCACACTCCCGGAGCTCAAAAAAGAAGGCCCAGTCCTTGGACATCCAGTTCCCGTCCAACATCACCAAGGGCAACCTCCTAAACCTCGTGAGGGACTCGCTCAACACCCCGGACAACGAGTTGATGAAAATCGGCCGCTACCGGGGCCGAGAATTCCGGGAGATACCTCACCAATATGGCGTCTGGGCCATGAACGAGATCAAGAGCAGCCAGACGGCCGACGACGAGTTGATCCGATTCGCCCGTTGGTTCGAGGCGAAGCTGCAGAGGAATGCGACCTACACTGGCAGCGACCTGGCGAGCAGCCATCCCGGGCCGTACCCGGGGACAGAGAGCTCGGCGGGATCATCCTGGCGGGGCGTGTGGGAAGAGAACCTCCCTGCGAGGGCCGTGAACATGGGAGAGGGGCCGGGACGAGACCGGCCGAAGAGGGCGACCGCGGAGGCGGACCACGCGACCTACGAGAAGGACATGGACGACGAGCCGAATGCCAAGACGCTCGACGAGATCAGGAAGCTGGAGACTCGCCTTGCCCTTCTGAAGGACAAGGCCCGGACCAAGTCGGGCAATTGAGAGCCGACGCGAATGGGAGCCGAGACCGCTCTGTGAGCGGCACCTGCTGCGGGGAGATGTGCGTCCCCGAGGGTGATGTGGTATGGGAAGCCGACTTCGTTCGTGGAAGCTACCTGCATGCTCCTGTCTACGCTGTCGACGGCCACAAAGGGAGCTCCGAGGGCATGAGCGCCGGCGAGGCCGCTGCAAAGGAAGCATATCGCAGCGGAGACTTCACCTACGACAAGCTCCTCGAGTTGTTGAAGGGCGCCGACTTCAGACCTCGGCGGAATGATCGAGGCGAGCCCTTTGCTGACGGAACCAACACCAAGGAGAACGGCTACTACACCTTCGGCTTGTTCACCCATGGCGGGGTCCAAGGCATCACAAGGCTTACCATCGAGAAATCCCACCTGTGCAGGTACGTCAACGCCTTTGCCAGGCGTCATCTCGGGACGGATGCTACGTGGTCTTCTTTCACGCTGAGCAATGATGTGAAGACCGGCATCCACCACGACTACAACAACCTGCCCGGGACCTTCAACCACAGCTGCAGCTTTGGCCAAGACAAGGGAGGGTTTCTTTGGATAGAAGACCGTGACCTCAACGAGGACCAATGCCAACGCGAGGGAGTCGTATGGAAAAGGGCCAAAGACAAAAGTTGGCTCCCCGGGATGTACCACGACACCTACCACAAGTTCGTCTCTTTCGACCCTCACCTCAAGCACTGCGTCTCCGAGTGGGAGGGCCATCGGTGGTCGTTGACCCTCCACACCACTCGAGGACTGGCTAAGGTCGGGAACGAGATCGTCGACTACCTCAAGAAGGTCGGCTGCCCGGTGCCCAAAGCGCGGGGCAAACTTGTAAAGGATGGACCTTCCACTGAAGGTCAGAGGCTACCCAGGAAGTCCGTGAGGAAAACTCTCGCCCATTCCGCCGTGAAGCTCACCCTGTTGTTGTCCACCATGTGCATGGCAGCTTCTTCTTTCATGGCAGAGGCGCTGCCCCGCGCCGTCCACGACCCGATTGTCATCTTCGAGCTGGGTGGAACGGACGCCACCTATGAGGCGGTTGAGCTGGACAAGTCTGTGATGGAACCAATGGCCTGGGAGGAGTTCAACAACCCCGACAAGGTGAGCAACGCCTTCGACATCGTGCAGGGTATCACCCCTAACGAACTCCGCGTTAACCTTCATGGCATGCCGGCTCACTTCCTGGACGTCGTTGTGGAATTGTCTCGCGACCAGATCGCGGGAGGAGGCGATGTTGTGGTCCGAGGGGAGAACATCGAGAAGTTCACTGAGAGGTTCTCTGACTACCTGAAGTATAGCCACTGCGATGCTCATGGTGATCAATGGGCAATCTTTGGGAGGAAGCGAGGACAGTATGAACACAATGTTTCTGTCCCCAGGCCCTACGAAGTGCACACCGTCGATCAACCAGAGCTACAGCAACGGCCACTACGCATGGACGGCAGTGGAATCACTTTTGAGAAAGGTGTTGCCCCACGACTACAAAGTTCCCTCCGACGACTCCACCAAAATCTCGGGCACCCACGCGCCGAGGATCTGGTACGACATCTACGACTAGCAGGCTGTGGTGACGAGATCCTGAAGGCGGCGAAGGGCATGCGATGTGAGACCTGCCTTTCGACAGCAGGACCGAGGATCGCAAGACCATCCACTATGCCAAGGATGTTGGACTTCAACGATTGCGTCGGAGTAGACATCCTCTACCACCACGACGCGGATGATCAAAAGTGGAGCTTCCTCTCTATGGTGGATTGGGGGACCTCCTACCACATTGTCGTGCCCCTGTACGGACACGGCGCAGAGGACATCGAGGAAGTTTTCAACAACCACTGGGTGACCCCGTTCGGCCCTCCAGCTACGGTGTCCGTCGACTTGGAAGGTGGTGTGCAAAAGGGACTGCGACGTCTGTGCGATTGGCACTCCATCACCGTCAAGAATGTGGGCACCCAGGCGCATTGGCAGGCCGGGATCACCGAGCGTCAAGGCGCATGGTGGAAGAACATATGGGACCGTGTGTGCCACGAGATGACGATCACCGAGGACGAGATCGAGTTGGCCGCGACGCTGGTCTCTACGGCAAAGAACACCCTGAGGCGCAAGTGTGGCCACAGTCCGGTAGAGTGGGTGTTCGGCCGACAACCAAGGATGCCCGAGCAGCTTCTCGACCCAGAGTCCGGGCAACGCATCAGAAGTTCCAGCGGGCCCAAGCGATCAGAGCGTCCGCAAAGCTAGCGTTCCACCACTCCGAGACCGACTCCAGACTGGAAGGCCCTACTTCACCGTGCGAGATCTACTACCAGGCCTTTCGACCATGGCGAACCGGTACACTACTGGTTCAAGCCCAAGGACCGACGTCGAGGTCGATGGGCAGGGCCCGCCGTTGTGGTGGGCCGCGAAGGCGACAACTACTGGATTTCTCGTGGAGGGCGATGCCGACTCACCGCCCCTGAGCATCTGCGACCCTCGGGGCCGGAAGAAGTCGGAGAGTTCTTCAGGCTGAAGGGTGCGCAGAAAGAGGTGGAGAAACTTGTCCACGCCGACTTCGACGCCGAGGAGACCTTCGACTTTGAGCAGCCCGACGCCGAAATGGTTGCCGACGATCACCTCTCGGACTACTCGCCCAGCAACTTTGAGGAGGTGGACCATCCGGCCGAGCTGCCGGAGATGAGCGATATGGAGTTGGATCACGGCGATGATGGTGTTCCTCTACCTGCCCCCGTCCGGAGGTTGAAGCGGAAGACCAATCCGACTGAAGGAGAACACGCCGGCACCATTTCAAGGAGAAGACCGCCCATGCCAGGCGGGGAAGCCGAGGTCCTTATGATGAAGCGCGACCTTACACAGCGTGGTGTGGAAAAGAGGCAAGAGAAGGAGCTTCGGTGGTCCGAGATCCCTGACGAAGTGAAGGAGAAGTTCAAAGAGGCAGAAGCACAACAATGGCAAGAACACTTATCTTACGACGCCCTGGAGCCCCTGAGCATCGACGGAAGCAACCGCATCCGTCGAGAAGTTCCTCCAGACAGAGTGCTGCGCTCAAGGTGGGCATACAAAGATAAGAACTGGGCCAAGCGAAAGCAAGGCGAGGATGTCCCGTGGAAGTGCAAATCACGGCTCGTGATAGCTGGACACCAAGACCCAGATCTTGGAGTCGCCGGAATCACCACAGATGCGCCTACCCTGTCGAGGCCAGCCCTGCTTTGTCTACTACAGGTGCTGGCAAATGGAGTGCAGAACGTCGACCCCTGGGAGGCAGCGGCCGGAGACATTCGTTGTGCGTTCCTCACCGGAGGATATCTTCAGCGCGATCAAGAGCTGTACCTCCACCAGCCTACCACAGGCTTTGCCGGGTTGCACCCCGACCAACTGGTGAGGATCAAAAAGAACGTGTTTGGCCTGGCAACTTCCCCGCACGAATGGTGGCAGGACCTCCAGGACGGGATCAAGGGCATCGAGATCGAGATCGAAGACAAGCTCTATAGGTTCGACCAGTGCCCGATGGACCCATGCGTGTTCGCCCTCAGGGAGTACTGCGAAGGCAAGTTCATTGGGAAGCCCATTGGCTACGTGGGCACCCACGTGGACGACCTGTTGGTGGTCGCGTCTCGAAGTGTCAAGAAGGCGATCTGCGAGGCCCTGTCTAGAACCTTCCCGGTCGATTCCTGGGAAGAGCGAGCGTTCTCCTATGTGGGGACCGAGATCAGCTACGACGAGAACGGCGCCTACCTCAACCAGCAGTCCTACGTCGAGAGCAGGCTTTTTAAGGTGAACATCCCTCGAGGAGTATCTGAGGACGATCAGGCTGATGCTGAAACTTTGGCGGACAACAGAAGTTTGATAGGTGCATTATCATGGGTTTCGGCCCAAAGCCGCCCGGACATCACTTGTGCTGTCTCGATGTCTCAGCAACTGCAGAAGGCCCCGACGTACGGGGATGTTAAGTTCACCAACAGCATCGCGACCAAGGCTGAGGACCACAAGAAGCGTGGACTGGTCTTCCGACCGGTCAGCGAAGACAAGGCAGTGTTCCTCACCTATCACGATGCTGCCTGGGCCAATGCCTACGAGGCGGACTATGATGAGGAGGGCTTCAAGCTTTATCCCGAGGACCTCGAAGCCGGTCTTCAACATGATGGACCACCGTCCCACCGCAAAGGACGGAAGGCGAAGCGGAACAATTCGAGAGTGGCATCCCAGCTCGGGGAGCTCATCCTACTTGGGACAGACGACTGCTTCGTGAAGGGAGGCGGACATGTGTCTGTCCTGGACTGGAAGTCGCGGGCCGGACAAAGGGTGTGCAGGAGCACCTTCAGCGCTGAGACTCAGGCTTGCATTGAGGGCCTGGAGGGTGCGCAGTACATCCGCGCTTGCTACGAGACGATTCTCAGCGGCGAGATGACCAAGGTCGAGGAGGCCAAGATCCCCCTCGTCTGCCTGAGTGATTGCAGGTCCTTGTTTGACCACCTACACCGGCAAGGCATCCCAAGGACGCCTTCAGATCGCAGGCTAGCAGTCGATTTGGCTGCTTTACGACAGGCGCTCAAAGCGGAGAGGTGGAGCGAAAGACTCCCCCTTGCTTGGATCCCTAGTGAGATCCAACTCGGCGATGTGCTAACTAAGCCGCAAGACCCCACTGGATGGTGGGAAATGGTCACAAGCCGAGTGTTTTTGCCGATTTCAGTTGTCGGGACACGTGCTGAAGTCAGCACAAAAGCCGACAAGGAGAGGAAGACCAGTGTGAAGCCCTGTGGAATTCCCATGTCTTATGATCATGAAGTCTTACGCTTTTGACGCTGTTGTTTGCACAACGGGCCGAACACGGTAGTTCCCTCCTCAGTTTGTCCTCCTGAAGGCGACGTCGCGAAGGCTTTCCGGATCGAGCAAAACGGGTGCCGTCAAGCAGGCGGGCCGCAGTTCTTTTTGTGTGGGGTTTTCCCCCCTGTAGTCCCTTAGGTCGACAATTAGGGTTTTGGGTTTAGCGCCTCAAACTTC